ATATATATTTTATTTGTTGAATCTGGTGTAGTCCCAAGCTTAGCTTTTGTGATTATCCATTTATTGTTTATGATTCAAGTGCGAATTTCAACAAACTTGCTTAAGAATGGAGTTTGACTGGAACAAGGAACACAAAGTAAATAAGACATGGGCAACAGGATATGGTTTGAATAATTAGTTAATCCCTTCAGTAAAAGGTAAGCTAAGTTGTGCCTGTGATCTGCTTCTAACTCTAGGCGATACAGCAACAGGATACCCGAGGATGCCATCCATCAATGTATGTGCTGATGCTGAAAGTGCCTCACAGAGTATTGAGGACAGCACAACTACTAAAAGCCGCCATGATGCAACAACTGAAGGTAATTCAAAACTAGACACACTTTCTTAACCAATATTTTGCTCGAGTATTTTAGAGGAGCAAAAGTTTACCTACTTTCATATGCAGATTTTTTTCTAAAAAGCAAAATCAGCTTTATAGAATGAGATTTTTTAGAATCTTGATTCTGTTTTTCCTCTAGTTTTCTTTTCCATTCTTTCTGTTTGCTTTTTTTAAAGTTGTGTGCATCAAACTCTTATTAAGCATTATTATGGTTGAGAATGTCAGTTACACAAGTTATATGCTTCTTCTTCTTCGTGTCTGACATTGGAAAGCTCCATGATTCTATTGCATCATATGCCCTGCCATGGGGTATTTGTAATTTTGTAAACGATCTTCATCTTCATCATCTTCTCCTTTATAATGTGCTAAATTTGAGGTCTATTTTTTGTAACTAAACCCTATCCAATAGCGTATTTTCCTTTCGGGATACTGTGAATCATAGTTTTTTCTTTTCTTTTCTTTTTTTTTTTTGCTTTCAGAAACTCAACATATACAAGCAAAAAGAGCCAAATATACACATGGAAGCTTGCATGTCAGTGATGGTACTAATGCTCCACCAGGTTCATCAGAAGGCAATCATCGATCTGATGACTCGACTTTGAATCCCAAGCCCGTTTATGAGCAACCAGTTGAAGAACAGCCCGGTCTCTGCTCGAACACCGTTGTTTATCCGTGCACAGCGAACCTGCCAAAGCCCGAATCAGCTTCCATATTGCCCTTTAGTGATGACCGATGGGTGGCATGTAAAGTTGAGCAAGACCATGAACGAACTGAACATGTGTAGTGCCTTGTGAACAAGATCAGCATGCTATTTATAGGATATTATGATTACTTTGGACTTGTTTTGCATTTGGCGGTTACCTGTTAGTTGATTCTGTAACTGTTTTAATCATCGGATTGTATTAAATTCTATTAGCTGTTATGACATGTTATGGCAAGCTGATTGTGTTGGTGGTTCTTATTGACGTTGAACCAATAATTATTTACAATGCAAGTTATTTATATTTTAAATGTATTGTAAAGTAATTTAAATATAATCAAAAATTAAATGATAATAAAATGATTAAAATTTTCTTAATCGAGTGAATAAGTTCACGAGAGATATGAACAACGCAAATAAATTAAGTCATCACTAGTTTTTAAGAAAAAAAAGTAAAGGTGTGAGTCGAATAATATGTCATCGCCAGTTACAAAAAAATGTGAGTCATGTAAGATATTTTCAATTCCAAGTAGACGTGGCCACGGGTCAACTGGCCCGTTGACTTAGACCGTCGACCTGGCTCGGTCAAACCCATTGACCATGGGTCTGGACTCGGCTCGAGTTTCAACCGGGCCGATCCAAGGTTGAGAATTTTTCGATGCTGACCCAGCTGGCCAGTCCTGGTTCGGGCTGGCACAAAAAAACATATGGTTTTTTATTTTTTTATTTTTTTCCTTTTTTATAAGGGGCGGGCCCGGACCCAGGCCATGACCCGACGGACCTAGGTCGTGCCGGTTTAAGGTCCGCCAAACCCAACCCTTCGGCCCGTCGGGATTTGGCCATGTCTAATTCCAAGTGAAAAGAAAGATAAAATAAAATAAAAAAATAAATGTTTAGCGCAGGACTTATAGATCAAACAATTATAATAATTATAACTTCAAGTTCTATATATCTATAAGTCGTGCGCTAAATATTTATTTTTTAATGAAAAATCTAAATTTACAATATTTTGTTGGAAAATCTACCGTTTGAATATTCTCCTGTTGAAAAATCTGCCGTTAGTATCGTAAAAATCCAACGAAAATTTTAATGGAAAATTCATTCTAACAGAATATTTTTGTTAGAATTTCTGTTAGAATCTATTGAAAAATTACTAAATAGCATTGAAATATCCATTGGAATAATTCTATTAGAATATATTTCCGTTGGAATTGCATCTTTTTCATATACTGATTGAACACGTGTCAATATATAATGTTGTGAATGACTCCATAGAATTTCTGGTTCTAATCCCACGTTCTCAATTTAGTTTGTTTATAATTAAAGTACATATAAACCTTACATAAATATTTTTACAAGTTCTTGAAAAACCTTGTTCAAGTTCTGCAACAATTTAATGTGACTCGTGGTTTGTGTTCATTTGTGTGAAGTATATATTCGTATAGTTGTTATTATTTAAACGTGTTATAGTTGTTATTATTTATTTGTTTTTAAAAAAAAAAAAAAACACTTATAACACGTTTATAGCAAAAAAGAAAAAAATATAGTCAAGTTTGTATAAAAAAAATGGTAAAATTTCATAATTATGCTAATAAAATTTATATATTCGTATATGTACAATAATCAACGGTTGTGCACCTTTATCATGCAGTTCCTATTTTCTAAACAACATTTTTGCCCATTTTACTCTATTAATAACTTTTTTTATCCAAAATGTGAGAAATATTTTAGTTTATTTATGCAATAATGTGTTGAGGTCAAATGCGAAATATTACCCAAAAATATCAAACAATGTCTACATAGAGTAATAATTTACCAAAGTCAGTCACGATAAGAACAGAAATTGCAGCAAAATACTAAATTACAAGATCAAAAGACGAGAAGTTAAAATTTTGGGACTAGAAATGCTATAGCGTTAAACCAACCGTACTAACAATGCAATTTTGCCTAGCAAGCCATATCACACACATTGACATTGTCCAACAAAAAAAGCAACAATAATCTCACCAAAAAGGACAAATTAGTCATTGGGGGCATATATTATCCTAGTCTACAAAATTCATGCATTTACAAGTACGCAGATTTAAAATTCCCACAGCAAGGCAATTTGGTTCACATCAAGACACCTTCAATATTGTTAAGGGCCTTTTTGGCAGTCTTGAACTTATTCGCCAGGGGCTTTTGACCGTTCACTACATAATTGCGGATGAAAAATTCGAGACCACTCCTGAGGTGTTCGTACTCGGGTGTCACAGCAATTCGGGTGAAAATGTTCCACACGATTTTATCCGAAAACTCGAATATGGCCTCGAACAGCATCCGGAAATGCATGATCCTCTTAGAAGTTAGATGCATTGGGTCATTCAAATCGACCGCCTTTAAAACTGCTAGTGAGAGACTAAAAGATGCAATCATTTCTGCTGTGAATTTCGACAAGTGCATTGATCTCATCAAAGACATCGATTCCAATTCCTTGAAATGGTCCCACAAGCAGTACTGTGACCCAATGGCCGAAAAAAAAAAGTAAATAAATATAGAAAGAAAGAAAATAAGTTAACTAAAATTGACTCAAAGTGGCATACAAAGGGAAAAAGGAAAAGAAACTAGAAAGGTAAAATATTCACACCTGCAAAGTGAACTTGTGGTTTTTGTCATGGCTGCATAATTTAGAAGCAAGTACACAATAATACTTGTTAAACACTTTTTCTTGTAGGCAGCACTCCACAAGTACTCGCATGATCTCTCGATCCTAGCCATGCACAGAAATATAAGCCGACTACAATATTTTCAAATGAAAAAAAAAAAAAAAAAAAAAAAAAAAAAAAAAAAAAAAAGATAAAATACAATAAAGTTATTAATCACGAGACGGGTTACCTGCTTTCCTGGCAAGTCTAGCCTAAGAAGTTTCTCAAAAGCATCGATATAGTCCTCTCCACTCATGATTATACAAAAAATTGCCCTTCTTGCGTCCGTATTCATTCTTTGAGATGCGGCAAGCTGCAACATTTTCTTAGTCTCGGGAATCTCCTTATCAATTGTGCCGGCAACCTCTTCAACATTCTCAGCAGTCGAGGAATTATCTCCAGACGACCACCACTGACCTTTCTTACTTGGATCAAGAAGTTTGCTCCATGTCAACCCTCGGAGTAGCATCTCATCTACTCTTAACTGAAATTAAAATTCAATTCTTAGAAAAATATATGAAGCTCCAGTTAAATATATAAATGAGACAAAACCAGGAAGTTTCCGCAAAAAAAAAAAAAAAAAAATGATCCCAATTGCTCAAATATAGCCAACTTTTCATTGGGAGCATACCAGGATAATTGTTTTTATATTTGATTTAACATGTGAAACATACAATTAAGAGACATCATAACAAATATAGTTGTTTAAGATTCTGAGCTTGTTATTGTAAAACATCATGTTTCAAACCTAAACTTGATCAACACCATAAAGTATTTAATTAGATCAGATGAAACCACAAACCTTCTGTAGCCATTTCTTTATCCGAGTGTGCTGCACAGTGTCTTCCTTTGTTTTCTTTTTGTTGTTCTTAATATCACATATCGTTTCAAGCATAAATTCCATCTGCAGAAAAATATTGAAAGTCAAAGGAAATTAAGAGCAAGTGCAAGGAGTCCAAATACACAGAATTCAGAATGAGCCTACTCTTTTGCTGATCAGCTGTGACTGCCCGTTTTCAGAAGAGGCCTTCAATTCATTAACCCTGCTCTGAACACTCGTAATGAAATTTTTCATCCCAACAGGATCATCCCCACGCAATTTCATCCCACAACCTGTCACAAGAAAGTTTCAGATGAGTTATATAAGTTACGAAAACATACCATGATAAGAGCATATGCAGACTCAAGATAACATACCATCATAAAAGCATATGCAGACTCAAGATAATAAGTGATATGCTATAAAAAAAAACAAAATTTTGAAGAATACACGACACTAAGTAGAAGAAGGTCCAAACATGTAAAGGACTTATCTTTCAGAACCTTCTTACGTCCTCATCCACAATCGTAAAGTTTGCAACCAAAGATAATAAAAGAAAAAATAAAAACAGTAAGCACCAAAAATCACTTACATTGCAAAACAGTCAGTACTGTAGAAACGTCAACCTCTGTTAACCTCTTTCCAAGCATTATCAGGAAATCATATATCAACTCACTGGAAAATAAATGGAAAGGCACCTTGCCAATCAGGAAAGAAAAAAAAAAAAAAACACACACACACACACACACACCGATAATACAAAATAGATGCATCTAAAAAAGAAGTAACAAGATATTCAAATTGAGTTGAAAGCGTATTTCCTAGTGGGCCAAGTCATGCCATCAATACGTACAATATCAAATTCAACTTCCAAAACAAATCATTCAAGTTCATGTAACACTGGGAAAGCATTGAATGAAAAAGAATACACACAATATGACAAATCAATTTGTACACACCAAACAACTGAGGGATCTACAAACGAATGTCAGCCTTCAAGTATGCTATACACAAATAAAGCCTACTTGCTGCAGCTGAGACTAGGCAAATGCCAAATTCACTCTACCCATTTAGGACCCAAAGCCTTTGATTTTCTTGTTTAGTATCGAGTTGATTTTTAAAATGGCAGCAAAACAAAACACGCTGTTGATCAAAAGTGGGGCTAAAGAAGATTTGTGACTGTCACAGCTGAATCAAATACCATGTAATGCAAGCATTAATGAAGGTTCGCATACATGAAAAGAGATATATTTCAGGATTTGTAATGTTACATTACCTTGGGCAAAGTCCAAAAACATACAAGTACGAAAATAGAAGTGTCAAATTCCGCAAGGATAGATTATCTTCTTTCAAATACTCCTCCTGAAAATAAAAGATGAAAAGAATAGTCTTTGGTCAAACCACGAGAACAACACTCCTAGAATCTATAAGGGGGGCGGGAGAGTAGTCTTCCATGTTTGATTAGTTGAGCTAGCATGAGATGGACAGCTTATAGCTTCTCAATAATTGAGAGTTCTAAGTGATTGGCAAATAGATGTACATACACATGTAAGGTTGAAACCAATGATTCAACAACGCACCTCAAAGCATTTTGCGACACGTGCAAGAAGTTTGGCACCAAAGTCCATTCCAACAGAACAGGTCATTCCAGAAACAAATGCCGCAAAAATGGCAGCATACCTTCAATTACAACGAAGATGGATGGAGATGTCAATCAAAATGAAGCAGGTATTAAGAACATTAGCAAGAATACTAACCAGATAAAAACGTAAATTTTAAAATAACAGTAGCAAAAGAATGCTTGGCAGTGTGGCTGTATATGTTGTGGTAAGTGTAAAACAATAATCATTGACAATGACTTAAAAGTAAACTACTCTTTAAACAAAATGAGAAAATAAAACATTGAGAGAATAAATTCCAGAGAAAAAAAAACTAGTCTTAACTGTTCGTTTCCACGAGGACCTCCGGAACATGATGCAACAACTTCTTCACTTACAATTTGAGAACCCAAGCTGCGGCCAACTGACTGAAGCAGAATAGATAATGAAAACACAGATTTGGTATCAACAATTTTTTTCATGCTATTTCATGGGAAAGCAAAAACTTTAGAACATCAAGATTCTGAACAATAGTTTCATGGTCAAATGGCATGCACAATGGCATTTTCAATTATGTATGCCAACTCTTGCCAACATTGTGCAAAGCTACAAAAACTCTTCAGATAGACATGACATGATTGCATGCCATTAGCCAATGAATTGCCATATTGTTCAATATATCTTCCCATATTTGATTTGTCATATGTTGCCAGCCCCAACACTAGTTCGGAATTTCGTCCTTTCAGATGGTTTGAAAGACAGCAAGAGATAGGCCCCTCAGTTGTTAGATATGTCCTCGATCCTCATAGGTTTTCAACATTCTATACAATCAATATAATATTAAAATATAATATCCTACCCTTACAACCAACCATTAGCAAAGATTTCTGAATTTACTTACGATTCATTCTGACATTTCCTCCATGGAAGTAGCACAGATATATAACAACAAAAAATACCCTACACTATTAACAATGATTCATTCCTATATATATTAACAATTTATAGACTATGTTACTCTGTGACATATTTTGAATCAAACGTGTGAAAGATGCAAGGAAATGATATGGTAGAGACTCACATTATACAGACTAGAAACTTGTCCTGTGATGGATTCGACATTGGTTTCAGAAAGCCTATTTAGAAGTCCTGGAGAAAAATGAAAATTAAGGACAAAAACAGAAGAAAAAAAAAACAGTTAGCTCATCATAATCAAAATCAAAAAAATAATACAAATCAATATAGGATGCTGTAACAAAAAACAAATCCAAATGCATACCTCTCACACGTTTACGTAACTGAGCATGTTCTTCAGATTCATTCCCACCACGTGATCTAAGATGAGGGGCCACATATTTCCCCTTGCCCGACTCAGAAGAAGTTCCCAAAGCTCCATTCACTCTATTCTCATCCTGCTCAATTTACACAAATGTTCCGGTTTTTCATGAAAAAAATGCGGATATCAAAGTTTTTCATTAGATATTCTGCAGTATTTTGTACCATATTGTCCTCTTGCGAAGGAATTCCTTCCAACAACATGTTGAGGTCGTCGTCCTCTCCCTTCACCTTCCCTCCCTTAACTTTTAGTTTCTTCGCGAGTTTTCTTTCAAGCGCCAAATCAGCTTCACCCAAACCTTCACCACCCTGAACATCATTTCCGAGATACACTTCAAACTTTGTTTTCTTTCTTTTTCCCTTGTTTGATTTCTTTGGTGAGCTTCTATCCACAATATCATCATCATCCTCAGTACCAGCTAGAGAATCAGATTCTTCATCTCTTTCATCATCCTCATCTACTTCACCGCCATCATCATCATCATCATCATCATTATCATCATCATCATAATCATCGCTGCCGCCATCATCATTATCACCACTACTATTAAATAACAAACCAAACTCTTCACCATCTCCATCATCCGAAATTTCTTCTTCTATATCCTCATTTACTGAATTGATCTTCATACTCTTCTTGGATACAAGATTGTCGAGAGTAGAGGGTGTTCCTTCAACCAAAACACTAAGATCATCGGCTGCACTGAGCTTCCCTTTCTTCAACTTGAGTTTCTTCGCAAGTCTCTTCTCGAGCCTCAGATCCTCCTCCGCTGATGGCACTTTCCCCCCCAATTCCATTTCAAGCAACTTGAAGAAATTGGTCTTTGGTGTTCCCTCTGAACCAAATTTTCTTTTTTGGCCCCTATTAGTTCTCGATTTTTCAAACCTATTAGGTTGTTGGGTGGAACCATTACTTCTCATGGTCTTCACTTTACTAATACCGTTCTTGCTTGCAGTATCCTGAACTGTTTCAATTGAGGGCTTCAATTTCAAATTGAGTGAGGCTTTCTTAGACTGCAACGACAAACGAAGCCCAAAATCACTTAGGGTTTTACGGTTTAGGGTTAACAAACAATTAGAAAGAACTCACTGCATTGGATTTGATGCTCTAGCAATATAACAAACATACAATTTACACAAAGTAGGTATATATATTAAAAAATTGAAGGGGACAAAGAAACCCTAAAAAACAAAGCAATAATTCAAAGCCATAAAACCACCAATGTCGCATATTACATGATGTTGGACCCAAGAATCAAACTTTTGCTTGTTCTTGGCCTGACGAGCTTCTTTCCGGCGCTCTCTACGGGATTTTCCACTTGGGGTTTCCTCTGTACCTACAAAAAATTCAGGAAAAAAAAAAAAAGGCATAAAAGTTCCGGTCGGATAATCAGATGGCATACTGAGCACCAATTTCTGTAGAAAATGTTACCCATGATGTGTTCCAGAAATTTCAGAAGGTTCCGACGGTGCTCCGACGGGAGAAATGGAAGCTGCCACAGGCACAAATCTACTCCAGCTTACAATTTCGAAAAGATATTTTCAAACGCAATTTTTTTATTCAGATAAGCTGATGAGAATCGTGAGATTAAAAGCATTCAGAATGTATCAGATTTTAGAGAGAGAAAGTGCAGAAAAAGCAATAGAAATTTGAGGGGGAGGATGAAGAAAGATCTCGGTGGCGGCGAGCAGGGTGGGTGTACTGGGAGCCGGGAGGTAGAGTCGGGCCAGAAGGGCGGGCTTGACATATATGAAAATCATGGGTCTAAAAACCGAACGCCAATGGTGGTCCATTGGTTCACTAATCTATTTCTATATAATGGACCAATCATTATTGCCATAATTGGCATGATTTTGGGCGGGAAAATTTTTCGTCTATATTTGGCATTTAATTAATATTTATTTATTAGCAAGACTTGTACATGAAAAACATTATTAATTTTTATACATTCAATGACTATTACTCATTAACTACAAATTAGCTTAAATTAAAATTTTGACCGTAGATTTATTAGATATATTTTCAATAAGATCTTATATTAATTTAATAGTAATTTATTGACACAATTCAAAAAATTATTATGAAAATTGATTTGGTTAAATACATTATCATCTATGGTTGTAGGCATTAATTTAACTAATTAAATTCACTATTCATATGTAGTTAAAATACTTAATAAAATAATCAGAACAACTATGTTTAATAAAATATTAATAAAAGTTTCAAAAATGTAGTCAATTTAACCATAAAAAAAGTATAGCTCCATTGAATATATCATATGCAATGATAATACTATTAAAATTTAAATAGTATACTAAGAAAAATAAATTTTGATGGTCGGGTGCAATTTAGAATTATAAATTTCACCTTAGAAGTATCTATGTACATTAAAAACTATTCAAATTTTAAAAATATATATATATTTTTTCTTATATACTATTAATGAAAAACATGTTAATAACAAACAATGTATAATTATTTAGATTATGGCACTTGGTTATTATGGAAATATATAATATATCTAAATATTTGAATAGATACTGTGTAACTCATTATATAGGTTGAAAAAATAAATTAAAGAAATAAATGTAAATAAAACATAAAAACATAAAAATAAAATATTTAGCCATAAAAAAATTGTATGTTGCATAAGGATTAAAGTCACTAAAAATTTAAATTTATTTATCAAAGTTTTTAACATTTAATGCACTTAATAATTATAGTGGAAGATAAATATTATGTTTTAATCATTGGTCAATTATCAAGCAATGTGCAAAGTACGAATTATTAAAAAATTATAAGACTGTGATAAACGACAATTTTATAAGTATATATACAAGTAATTTGTATGCAAATATCATATGATCATATACATTTATAATATTTTATAAACTTATAAATTATTAAATTTATATATTAAATAGTCAAAACCTACAAAAAAAATACAAAAATAGAAATTAAAAATAATAGTCCATAAATAAATATCATATTGTTACTTAATAGAATATTGTGGATGATATAATTTTATATTGTCTTAAATAATTATATAATATTTAAATAAAAAATAATTTTTTATTGCACCCCGTGCATCGCACGGGTATCAACACTAGTCGGACTAGTGATCTAACCGGTCGAATCATTTTAATTAATATATAAATTTAATTCATTTTATTTGTATATTGTATAATATATAATTATATATATTTTTATTATTAATTTTATAATGTATTACATTTTTCTAAATAAGAGTTCAATAATTAATACAACTCACAATGTCAAATAATGTTGTTAACTGTTTTTTTTATTTTATTTTTATATTTAAAATTTTAATTTGTATTTAAGTTACAAAACTAAAAAATAGAAACAACCAAATTTGCATTTTAAATTGCATTTTAAATGTTTTATTATTGATTAAAAAATAAAAAATATAAATATGCGGATAACATACAACAATAAATTGCTTCTTTTTTTTTAAAAAAAAAAAAAGGAATAGATATATCCCAATAGATAATCCACTTAGAAAACAATATATTTTTTTAATGAGAATAATTTTGTTGTCCAAGAATTTTAGCGAGGAAATATATCCAACATAGAACCACTTCACAATCTAGCATTTTCATGTTCATAAGTTTGAAACGATGAACACTTTGAATCAGTCCCGGTTCACCGGTTTGAAGATTCTCCTACTTAGCGGTTTGATGGCTCCAATCGGACCGGAATGAAGGTCGGTTCTCGGTCCAATCGGTTGAACTAGCCAGTCCGGTCTGGTTTTCAGAACCATGATGAAAATATATATTGACATGTGATCTTTTATTTAATTAAATATAAAATATATCAGTACTATATATACTAGGAAGCTAATGGCAGTGAGCCGGCCCACGAGTATTGCCTTCTTGATGTGTTTGATTGTTTCTTGTTCTATTATTGAAAATCGAACCGATTATCGAACCGATTTGATTAATATATATTTTTTTTTATATTTTATACGTATAGTATATAATTATATATATTATTTATCATTAATAGCGTATGACATTTCTCTAAATAATAACTCAATAATAGATATAACTTACAATGTTGGATAATGTTGATAATTCTTTTTATATATTTTAATTTTTATATTTAAATATTTAATCTATATTTAAGTTACAAAATAGAGAGAAGAGAAACTACCCTATTTTCATTTTAAATCACTTTTTAATTTTTTTCTTATTGATTAAAAAATGTAAGAAATAAAAATAGTGTGTATAACAAACAACAAAAATCTACTCATTTCTTTTTAATAAATTGGAAATAAATATGGTCCAATTTAAAAAATAGTACATTTTTTTAATGAGTAGAATTTTACTTGTAAAGCCCAATATTGGACCAATAATTTCAGCAATGGAACATATCTTATATTGGAAACACAAACAAAAAAAGGTGTATTATTTAAATTACTTCACAATCAACCAAATTCAAAAGTTTGAACCGTTGAACCATTCAAACCGGTCTCAATTCAACAAATTTTGGACCATTCGAACGGGTTCTTGATTGGTTCTCATACTGAGTGGTTTGATGCAGCAAATCATACCGGAATGAAAGTCGGTTCTCAGATCCGGTCCAATTTTCAAAAAATTGTATATATACATACTGCAATCTAAATTTTATTTAAAAAAAAAAAACATTTGGGAAACAAACATTTTGTAAAAAAATGCAAACTTAGACCATTTTATCTGTGATCCCTCGATGGGTCACAGCATTATAAACAAAAATAAAAAGAAGAAGAAGAAAAATTAAAGAGAAGGTCGCCCACTTTCAGCGACCCAGGTTACATTGTAACCTTGGATCGCGACCTTCCTTGTATGTGTATATGGAATATTTGTCCCATTTTTATTGCGTAAATGTGATTTTTTAGTTAAAAAAATAAAATAAAATAACACTAAATTTTATATTTTTAATTATCTACAAATAGAAATCACACTTGATATATTTTAAAATAAAATTAAAATTTTTAAATAAATTGAAATAAAATAAATATTTAGGTTGAGTTGAGTTGGGGATAAAGATAAATTAAGTTGTAAAGTTGAGATGTGTAGGTGTAGAAGAGATAAATAATTTTTAATTGTTAGGTTGGGTTGAGTTGGATTGAGGATAAGGATAGTCTTAAATTGTACCAACCAAATCGGGAAATTTACACGTATGGACTCTATGTAAGAAATATTTACATATAGACATGCAATAGAAATTTTAGTCAAAAGGGAACTTCAATGTGATTTTTATTTCACATCTACAATATTACTCTCTCTCCTGCTGATCGGTTTCTCTCTCTATTTATTGAAGTTTGAAAATGCAATCAATTTCGGCGGAAACTACGCAAATAAAACGGAAATTTTTTTAAAAAATATCAAATATGATACCTACAATTCAGGGTTACGAATTCATTTCAAACGGGATTTTCTGTTCATCGACCTCGTTCAGTTGAAAAAAAAATCGTCCATCTAGCTGAAAAAAAAACCGATCGGGCTGGGAAAGAAAATAGTCGGGCTGGGAAAAGAAAACAATTGTTATTCGTGAAATTTTCATTGATATATATATTATATATATACATAAGATAAACATGTCTTGACATATTCAAAACATATACTATATATATACATAAGAAAAAAATTATTCGTGAAATTTTCACGAATATATATATACTATATATATACATCAGATACATATGTCCTGACAGATTCAAAACATAAACTATACATATACAAAACATATACTATATATATACAACAAATAATGATAGCAAAGTCTAAAAAATACGTTTAATTATACATAAGATAATCAATATATAAACATTATTGAAACAAGATAAACATAATACACTTTGATATTAGAAAACAAAGATTCTGAAAAAAAAAAAGACGACATATTGAAATAACATTAAACTAATTTACATAAACGAGATATAATCAACCTAATTCACATACATGTCCGACCCTATCTCACTGTCATCATTTGAGATGTTTGCACCCACTTCACTTGAATGTTCTCCTTCCTCTTTATCAAGTATAAAATTCAAATCTAATTCTTGTTGATTCTTTGGAAAATCAACAATTTGTGTTTTACCCTTGTTGTCGTCGGCCACTTCTCTTTTTTTTTTTTTTTGTTTAATCTTCCTTCATATTCACTGATGACAGATTTTGCCTCAGTTTTTTTTTGCTTGGCCATTGAATATTTTGGGATTGAGAAGAGGTTTTATTTGTGTTCAGGGACAGTTTTTTTTTTTCTGTTTTGTTTCTTGTAAAGAGGGTACACGGGAGCATATGGAGAGAAAAGCAATTTTTATTTTCTTGATTTACGGTTTGATATGGAAGGAAGGAGAAATATCACGCTTCCCGATAATCATGGAAGAAAATAACCATCATTGTGTAGTTGTTACCTTCACAAACATTAAACTTC